GATGAACAGATAGAGACACAGAGTGTTTACAGTTTTCTTTGCAAAACAAACACTTCCTTTCATTATTAAATCTTCTCTGTGATCTTAGAATTGCTTCCTTCTTGAAATAAATCCAACCCGTGTGGACAGGTATAGAGTTTAAATACCTTATTATTTGTTAGGATTAAATCAAGACTTTTGCAATACTAATTATTTTGTTAAACCCCTTGAATTAAAAAACTGTCAGAGACCCGTGCTGTAACATGAGTTTTACAAGACTGTACAAGAACATTTTCCAGCTATTCAAAGTTAATGTTTTATCTTATTATTGGCAATTTAAGCAAATATATCCTGTACATTATGTCTTAATCCACTATTTATTTATTTTTTTAGATTTCTTTTAAATTTAATCGCTTCATGGTCTCAATACAAAATGAAAACGTTGCGATTATACATAAAAAAGAAAGAAGGAAACCCCCCTCCCTCCCCACCCGAGGCTCATGTAAAGAGAAACAAAACAAAACAAACAAAAATGTATGTCACACATCTGGAAAATACATTTTTATATAGTCAATAACTGGGTTACACGTCGCAGAGAATTTTTGTTGTGATGAGAGACTCCAGTGGTAAAAGAAAAGCTCCTCCTTTAACCATTGTATGTATGAAGCAGCCTTATCAGACTTCCAGTGGAATAGAATGAGTCTACAGGCAGCATGGAGCAAATGCTGTAGCATTTTCCTGAGACTTACTCATTTCGTATTGAGGTGGCATAACTCCAAAAATGCCAATGCAGAAATCAAGCACTAAATTCTGCGCACTGAGATAATGCTTTGAATATATTTCCCCAGTAATTATCCAGGTTCGGACAAGACCACATCACGTGACCCTCATTTGCTGGATTATGTCCACACCTGGGACAGGCAGGATCGACTTCTGGGAAAAGCTTTGAAAGCCTCTCTCTTGTATAATGAAGACGATGAAGAATTTTAAACTGAATGAAACCATGGCGAATGCAAAGGGAGGAAGTATGTATACGATTCAAGCAAGATCTCCACTCATCATCAGATCAATCCACCCCAACGTCTTTTTCCCAATTATTTTTAGTTTTTTCCCAAGTAATAGCCTTAAGCTCTGCATCAGTTTGTATATGACGGAGATTCTCCTTTTGCCAAAAGGATCTATTTCCAAAATAGTATCCACTTGATTTTTAGGAGGTAAGTAGGAGAATGAAGGAAACTTTTTGTTACTTTTTGCAAAACTTCGTATTTGCAGATATCTAAACATATGTGAGGTTGGTATATTGTAATCTCTCATCAAAGCGTCAAAGGTGTTAAAAGTTTCTCCTGAAAATAAATTGTAAAAAAACTTCAAACCATTATTGTTACAAATTTGGATGCTTTATCTGAAATGGATGGTAAAAAAGGGTTAAAAGCAACAATGAAAAAATTACTAACCTGTTGCAAACTGAAGCGCCTTCTGAATTGAAGCCATATTTTAATATATGTTCCTACAACTGGATTTGTTATTTTCTGTTTTTGATTTCGAGCTAGGGATGATGTTAGGAGGGGAAGTGGATTAGACATCAGTTCCATTTTTACCCAAGCCTCACCCTCGCTGCTCTCATAAACATATTTCCAGTGCAATCATTTGGTGATATTAGCCGCCCAGTAGGAAAAGATAAAATTTGGCAACCCAGCCCACCAGCCTCTTTTGGTACTTCCATATATGTTTTTTCCATTCTGGGATTTGAATTTTTCCAAATAAATGTTGCTATTGATCTGTTTAAATCTTCTGTTTAAAGCACAAGACTCGCGTGCGGAGTGAAGCGGAAAAAAGTGCGAGAGAAAGAAAAAAAACCCACGGCTCCCAATAAGGAGCCGGCTCGCGTCGTTCACGTCAAAGATTCGGCTCTAACAGCCGTTTCGTTTGCGACCGACACATCACGACTGCACAGGTCAGCAGTCTGTCACAGAGAGACAGACAAGCATTTGCTCTCATGTTCACGGGTATTTTGGAAACACCAATTAACCTAACCGTAATTACTGCACAGTGTTGGGTAGTTACTTTTAAAAAGTAATTAATTACTAATTACTTAATCAGTATTGTATTCAAAATACTTATCTAATTACTGTGTCTGAAAAGTAACTTAATTACTCAATAAGTAATTTAACTAAATACTTCTTAAAATCCCAATAAAACCTTGAGTGGACAAACAATAGAAATTAAACTCTTTAAATAATAAATACTTTTTTTACTCTACAGTACGCAGCGGTAGCATCTCTTCCACAGTGTCGCCTGCAATCATTTTTAAGCTCACCTTCAGACGCTTTCTGTGCTGCTGAAGTAAAATCAGGTTTTGCCGCGGTGATGGATGATGAACAAGGATCACTCAGAAGTGTTCGTCTCTGTGTCAGGCGCTTCAGTAGATTACTCGTGCTATTAACAGCAGCACATAGTTTTTACATATTACTGTAATGTTCTTGTCTGCTTGTTTCAGAAAAGTGAAGAGACGGGAATATGTCCATTTCATCAAACAGCCACTCCGACAGCTTCCGCTGTAGAAAACGACCGTGCAGCAAACTGGCGCGAAATGACGCGCAGCTGCACTACAGCGATGTTAAAGAGCAGAGTTTACTTCTACGTTTAGAAGATAAATTATTGAAATTAAATAATGACATTCAGCAAGCTTAATTATTTTACAATGTAACGCAAGCACATTGTAAGTAACTGTAATTAAAATACCTAAAAATGAACAGTAATCAGTTACTCTACTTTTTCAGTAAAAGTAATTTAATTACAGTAACGCGTTACATCCAACACTGTTACTACATGACTTTTAACTGTTTCAGGAAACCAGAGAGAACCCACTGCAGATTTGGCCAGATTGCAGATTTAAACCCAAGACAACAACACGAACACTAACACTGCGCCACCGAGCTGTCAATCTACTCTTCAACAGAATGATTGATGAGCAATGATTACGAGGCTTGATATAGAATTACGTTCACCACAGAGACGTGAAATTATTTTGTTCACATTACAAGTTTGAATTTTGTAAATGTAACAACCCCCCAACTTCATTGTTTTAGTGCATGGAGCAGATGCAGTGGACAGGTTTGGAGATATGCCCGGTTAAAGCTGACCTCCTCTCCTGGAGGTCAGCTGCCTCATTCTGAAGGCTGCTGACAGCTTTAATCCTCCAATCATTGATGCTTATCTCTGAACATCCTGCCTCCCAGCACTGCACAGCGTCGTGATTCTCTTCAGAAGACATCCCAGCGTCTCTATTTGAATGTACATATAGAGAAAGGGCCCAGAGTGATGGCTCTAAACACAAACCTGCACTTTTGAAATGGTTGATGATGCATTTTGTGACCTTAAAGTCATCATTTGGTTTCTTTAATGTGAGGTTTTACATGAGTTACTATGTTAGTGTAGTATTGTTACTGCAGAAATCACATGAGTACAGATGCAGGACACTGTGAACACATAATTTGCTCAAAGATAATAGAGTATTCTGGTTCTTTGCTCGTGGTCTAATCTAATAATAATAAAAAAAAATCCATCATATGACTTTTTAAAAGTCAGCAGACGACAGCATAGTTAACTTTGCAGCATCAGTACTTCTACATCTTAATGCACAATTTTTATGATTAATTATCCCATTAAATTGGAACTGTTTTACTTTTTCCTCCATTTCTTTCATTTACATGATGATATAATATAAATTTCTTATAATAAACATGACCAAAGTCTTAAATAATGAGGTCATGTCCAATAATCCCTGTGAACTAGAAGCTCTCAACACTCAGTTTCACGCACGTTTTCGACTCTTGGCTCTGTGTGATGTCACTGTGATGTCATCCTTAATCTGAAAAATTCTAATTCTGTCATTTTTGTATATTTATTGCTGCAAAGGCCCACATTTTAATTCAAACTTCCGTTTCTCAACCTAACCAATTAGTTTTAGTTCATAAATAAGTGATTAGGAATGCAAAGATACAAAAGTACCAGTGGTGTCCTGAAAATCCTGCAGTCTCCCACAGCTCCATAATTTATTCTCGTGGTAGCTTTACATGATTCAAAGTTTAAAACAATCCATGATAATCTTATATGGGCCCCCAGGTTTGTCTGAAATAAGCTGTTTTAGTTCCTCCCCATTTAAGGCAATCCTTGCTTTAAGCCAGCTTTCTTTTGATTGGCTGCCCCTCATAAAAGAATCTTAAATAACAGGTGGGCGGGGCTTCTATTATCACTACCAGAGCTGTGTGCCTGATCTGATCATATAAGGATATTCTGCCCTTGTGACATGACAGAGCGCAGTGAGGAGAAAGCAGT